TATGTATTTTATAAATTGTGTTATTTTTAATTACTTTTAATTAATGTGTTATATTTGGAGTTAAAATATTAAACACTAAAAATATATATTAAATGCAAACTATTCATTTATTAAATTAATTCATGTTTAAAATGCATTTGAAATTCATATAAGTTGTGAACTTTTTATTGCCTTCAATCCGTAAATGACTCATACATTTGATTACTATAAATATTTTCTTGAAATCTGATTACAATCAGTGAGTGAAGGTCGGGATCAACTGTTTCACCAGGCTCGCCCATCTCTAACAATTTATTAAAATAATTTTTAAACCTATAAAATTATATATCATATTAAATTGTATATTATAGTGTATAACATAGCTAATAAAAATGTAATCAATTAGGAATTTAGGCCGTATCATACTGGACACATCCGGGTGGTTTATTGACCACAATCGGCAAAGTGGCCACTGTTTGAGGCTCCCGAAATACCTAAATTTTATATTTAATATATTTCAATTATTGTGAATAGTAATGCTAGTTCTGATCTAGCACAAAAGACGTTATACGAATTCATGCCCAGAATTGACGCCTGTATTTCAAAACAGCTGCCTTTCCACTCGGAATATCATTGCCATAGTATTGACATTAAGGTTCATATTCTGTACGCAATGTTTGCGCGCATGTATTGAATCGGATTTCAGGGTTTCATTGAATAAACGAGTAATTCTTGACGTAAAGAGTCTTTCCATACATTTTGGAGGATAACTAGAAATACGTGTCATTTGACATAACAATCAACAGTTCAGTGAAATGCCAAATATATGGCAAGTGTTTAGCTATGAAAAAGTGGCCAAATATTTATCATATTCTTTCTTATTACTCCTCATTTGGGCCACACTTTGGTCGCTCACCGGAGCGGAAGCCCTCCCACCCGATGGCTATCTCTTCAACCTCTTAGTGGTGTTCACTTTGGCCGTCATATTCGGACAAATACTCGAATGGCTGGGACTGCCGGCGCTCTTAGGGATGCTTATCATTGGCTTCCTATTGGGAAACCTCTTCGACATGACTCTAAACAAGAGGTTATCATCAGTGCTGCGATCGCTAGCGCTCGTCATAATCCTGTTGAGGGCGGGCCTGGGATTGGATCCCAAAGCTATCGTCAAGCTATCGGCCGTATGTCTGCGCCTGTCGTTCATCCCATGTCTGGTCGAGGCGGTGACCGTAGCCCTCGTCTCCCATCTCTTACTGGGCTTCCCTATCGTCTGGGGATTCCTATTGGGCTTCGTGTTGGCAGCCGTCTCCCCGGCAGTGGTGGTGCCCGGGCTGATAGGCCTACAGGACCGGGGCTACGGTGTGGACAAAGGTGTGCCGACTCTAGTGATCGCCGCCGCCAGTGTTGACGACGTGTTGGCCATCACTGGCTTCGGCCTCTGTCTGGGACTCGTGTTCGACAGCCAGTCCTCCATCGCGTGGAGTGTATTGAAAGGACCGGTGGAGGCGATGTCGGGTGTGGCCTACGGAACACTCGCGGGACTCATCCTATGGTATATCCCTGCGAAACGCGAGTCACAGGCGCTGAGGATTACTATACTATTGCTGTCGGGAGTGTTGGCGCTGTTCGGCAGTATAGCCACTCATATGGGCGGCGCCGGACCCCTGGCCTGTCTGGTCGTGTCGT